AAATCTGCAAATGCCTTTAAATGCAACAAATTGTTCAGATTACCAAAACTGTGTTATACACATATTAAGAAATATATACAATCTTCCATAGATATTTATTCATTGGCAAATTCCCAGACCTGTGCAGTTCTTTAAAAATTGAATTGGGAAATAAAAGTAATCATTTTTATCTAAATGTGTTCTTAAAGGAAGTAGTGGAGAGACAGAAGTGCTTTTCTGGCCCTGAGAATGACCCAGGCAGAATTATATTATTCGGTCAATAATTTGCTGTGAAAACCTGATCTCACTGAAGTCAACAGTAATAGGACTGAATCTTTAATTTAAATTCTTCCTTGAGAGTGAAATTTTCTCTTGTGTGGAGAGACAGGATAAGGCTAATGCATTGCTTCAGTCTTGTTTAGACTTTACCACACCTCCCCTTCCCTCTTTACTGAAACAGAATTTACAAGTGGTCTTCACCCATCTATGTCAGGGTGACCTTTGTTCTAATCAGAGTTCTATTGTAAGAACAATTCTAGAGTACATTTATTCCTATTAATAAACAGAAAATACAACACTTTTTAATCAAGATAACATTAAATGCTTGAAAACACTACAACATTTCTGGAAACAGACTTTGTCCCTGAGGCCCTAGTTTTGCCTTCACTAGTTACCTTGTGCAGAACGCAGAGTCTGCCTGACTTTCTTCCTCCTTTTTCTTAAAGTGCCTATATCTGATATGCTGGTATAAATACTTTTCTATAACAGAAATAATAATATCCTCAAAGATGCATAAATCTGTACAGAGCTGATATGTTCTTCCTGACTATGCTTTCAAGTCATGTTATAACCATATCACCTACCTTGGGTTAGTTACATTTTAAATTGCATTAATAATATTTCCTCCTACTTTAAATTGAGGGAAAATGGATTGTGAATTATGATAAGAGAAGAGGAAAAATTAATTTAAGGCTTTTGATGTAGGCAGATGGATACATAACTGTATGGAAAAATAAAATATTACTACAGGCAGATGTTTCACTATGCAAGATCTGCATTTAGTCACCAAATTAATATAAATTATATGTATTTGATTGATTTCCAGGTAAATTTAAATTTCATTTATTTGGTTGATTTCCAGATTAACTCAAATGCAATGCTTTGTAGTAATACGATATAAAAACTTGCTTTAACAGGCATGAGTTATTGTCTGTACATCAGGACTCAATAAGTAACAGTACCTGACGCACTAAATAGCTCCATTGGCTTTGCAGACACCATGTGGAGCAGGATCCCATTCAGCAAATGTTGTGGTGGTAGAATCCATACCTAATAATTTACCACTGTTCCAAAAATTTTCCATAATTTGTGAGGAAGGGTCTAATTTTGGAACACCTCTTTCTCTGAATGTGTGCAGGTACTACGTTCAGCTCTGAGGTCCCCAGCATAAGATGTGGACCTGCTGAAGTGGGTCCAGAAGAGGGCCACGAAGATGATCAGAGGGCTGGAGCACCTCTCCTATGAGGAGAGGCTGAGAGAGTTGGGGTTGTTCAGCCTGGAGAAGGAAAGGCTTAGGGGAGGCCTTATAGCAGCTTTCCAGTATCTGAAGGGGGCCTACAAGAAAGCTGGAGAGGGATTTTTTACAAGGGCTTGTAGTGACAGGATGAGGGGGAATGGCTTCAAACTGGAGGAGGGGAGATTTAAATTAGATATTAGGAAGAAATTCTTTACAGTGAGGTTGGTGAGACACTGGGACGGGTTGCCCAGAGAAGCTGTGGATGCCCCATCCCAGGAGGTGTTCAAGGCCAGGTTGGATGGGGCTTTGAGCAACCTGGTCTAGTGGGAGGTGTCCCTGCCCATGGCAGGGGGGGTGGGCTAGATCATCTTTAAGGTCCATTCCAGCCCAAACCATTCTATGATTCTATGTTTCTATTCTGTTACACATGTGAGCTTCATTTAGGATAGTTGAGGAGATACCAGCACAAGGATTCTTAAAAGTGATCTTTGATTTTTCAAGTGCAGAGATAACCTGTAAAATGACTTCATAGAAGTTTCAAATATTCATCTCATGACTATGCAGAATGATAGCTGCTCACTTTTATGGCCAAACAAGTGGTTCCCATGTTTAGCTTTGTTTTATTGAGCTAAAACAGTAATGGGAATATGACCCAAATTCTGGGCTCTTTCTGACTCATGTCAGCAAGTGATAAACCAAGGTCAATCAATTTATTTCTAATATTAGTTAATCTACATTTAAGACAATGCATTTTGACTTTAAAGTCACAATTTTGAGTACTCACAAAAGTCAGAAAAAGCAGGATTGTCAATGAAGCGATCTTAATGTCCTTGATAATACCTTGTCTTAATGATCTGCAAGTTCCCCAGACTGTTGAAACTCCTTATTCACTCTGAGGCAAGTTTCACATGTAGACATACATGTATATTAATTTTGTGTTCAGTACCTTGGTGTGGAAGTCACGAAGAAAAACAATACATATCATAACTGTGTCAGACTTACAAAATTATGTTATGGAGCTTGCTTCGGCTAGTGGCGTTTGCATTTGGCAAGTGTTTGAACAGCATTTTTTTTTTTAAACCGATTTTCTTGAATTAAATATTTTTATAAGCCTGGAATGAGGCACAAGAAAATTTCAGTTTGAATGTGCATTGCTTGCGGAGTGAATGCTGATTGCTGTGGAATGCTGTTTATCCTGGCGGCTGAATCCCAGATAAGGGATTAGGGACAGTGTTTGCACATACAACTGTCTTGAAGATAATTTCAAAATGGTTTCAATCAGAGCAACAGCTATGCAGAGCCATTCCCACTAAAACCTGATCTCATAGACTGGTAACCACTGATGAGGTTCATTGAAATATGCGGTTCTCACAAAAGAGGACTCATTAATTAACGCAATGTGAGCTATTCAACTTTTGCTTGCATTATGCTTTTTAACCTGTTATGCTTTTTAGAACCTACGTATTAATGATTGCTATTTTTAGCTACAATATTTTTATTATCTACCACCAGGTTAAATTTCTCCCATCTCTTTCTTAGCCCTATTCACCAAGTTTTCAGCTTTCATCAGGCTGCTGCTCTATGAGTCTTAGGGTATTGAATTTCAGACATTATCAGAAATTATCAGAAGGACATGAAAGAAGCTAGAAGAATCATCACATTTGTTACTGTGCTGAATTTTACATAGACTTTTGGCAAGCAAATAAAACATTTAAAATACTGTGTTTCTTTGATGTTTTTCTATAAGTATAGCAACATAAGGGTGATGTTTAATACATCTTTATAGCTTCAGGAGCAGTATATTTGCTGTACAAATTAACATTACCACAGAAATATTTTTCATAATAGCCGGGTCAGGAAACCCAAAATGGAATGTAATAGCAACCTGAATTCCTCCTTTTCCTATTCAATACCTGACATGGGTTTACCAGACGCCTACCTCCTCTCCCCTGAACAACGCTACTAGAGTAATGTGCATTTCGGGTCTAATGACAAAATAACTTAATTGAATGTGTGCTTGCACACAGATCCCTAATCTGATTTAGAGATAACACAAACCACACTATTTGTGTACATTACTATGATGCTGTGGGGTATAACCCAGATCGTAATCTTATCTGCACAGTCACTGTTATAATGTTACCTGAAAAAGAATTCCAGTTTGAATTTGAGCTGAGTTTGAAAAGAAAATGAAAAATTATCCTATTATTTTATGAACTGTGCAAATATGAACTGTAGATACACTAAGTATGGGATTGAGATCACCTGTCTGCCTGAAATGTCTATATGAGCCACTTGACCTCTGTTACAGTCAATGAAGATACAGTCAGTGAGTTCTGTTGATCAGTTCCCCTGACCAATAAAGATGCCTGTTTCAAGATAAAATTAATAATTTCCTAGAGCTCCATTGGCTACAGTGGGAATTTAGAAAATAAACCATGTGCAAACACCTACACCGGAGTCATCCTAAATTAGGCAAGATAAATCCCCGTCTAGCTATCTAAAGTGAGAAGTTTGAATGAGTAATCAAAGCTCCTTCTAAAGTAAGGAAAGGAGACCAGCACTTCCACAAAGCAATTCATCTTGTCCTTGGATTTGTGTTTATCATCATAGATGGAAGGAAACATATCTCCACTATAGGGAACCTTGAAGGTTAGCTTAGACACCAACTGTGGATTTTGTTGAAGACTAGATGTAGACAAGTGAGGCAAGTATCTCAGCTACCATCATCATCAAACGGGCTTCATCTTTCGGTCTAGCGTCATTTGAGATGATCTAGGATATCTTGCCTGGTGTCCAGTTGCCACTCCAGACAATCACAGGTCATATGCCACGATTTCCAGCCTGTTGCAAATGTGTAAGATGTGCCAAAGTGGATCAAATGACATTGGATGTATATATTTAGGTAAATAAATGGAGCACAATGAAAATTCAATCCACTCTAAAGGATGAATATTGTGTAAGAAATGAACCATTTGTATTATATTATCTACCATAAAATCAACCACAACAGATGAACAGAGTAAATACACTGTATTCCCAATCTCAGTGTATGTAATCATGGAAAACCTGTGAGGAAAAGCTCTTATGTCAGTATTTGCTTTTACACAAATATTCTTCTCTCCAATTTACAAGTTTGATTCCAAGATACTACTACTGCCACCGGTACACGCACAGAAATGTGATGTTTGTCTTATGTGCGGAAAACAGAGTATCTGCTTCACCGTCTTTGTTCAGATTCAGGAGAGAAGAAAATATCACTCTGCAGCCTTGATGAGCTGCTGTGCCCATAGGCAAGGACCTTCACTACATCTTCTAAGAAATGAATCCTGATTTTGTATAAAGAATGCAAAACTCCTACTGAAGTAAAAAAAAATGCCTTATTCATATGTCTGGGAGCAGAATTCAGCTCTCAGAACTAAAACAGCTTGCACTGACTTGCTGCTGTAATTCTGAAATGCATTTTTGGTTGATATCTTGTATAAATCATGAATTGAGAGCAATGTGCTTTACCAAGAAGACAGTATTCCAGTCACAAAGTGCCATCCAAATGGAAAGACCCCCAGAGTAAGCAAGAAAGAAACGTTACAATTATATTCTTGGGTTTCTCCATAACAAACCCTGGCATTGACTATTACACATTCACAAGGTATCAGTTTTCATTTGGTCATTGTTGTTTAAAGCAGGAGAAGGCTTGCTCTTCTGAGCATCAGTTCCTCCTTTGGATGTCTCCTGGAAGAAAAGTCTTGGCATCCACAGTGACATTAAAATTCGTTTGTATTCATTACGAAAATTCTGGTTAAGAAGTCCGTATATTATTGCATTAAGGCAGCTGTTGAAATAGGCCATGAAGTAGCTTATAATGAATAACCATTCAGGAACTTTTGGTGCCATTTCCATAGGATCAATGGCTACAGCCAGTCCAATGAAGTTTAGAGGTGCCCAGCAAAAGGCAAAAATCACAAAAACCACAAACATGGTAAGAAAGTTTCTAAAGTCACTTGGCTTTAGTCTTGGCTTTGTTTCTGACTTGACTCGTCTTCTGACTTGAAGCACTAAAACCCAAATTCTAAGGTAGCAGAAGCTCACAATGGTGATAGGGACGATGAAGTGAATTACCACAACAGCTATCGTATAGTAGGAGCTCGCAGTCTGAACAAATGTGCATGAATAGATGCGTGGATCATACTTTAAAGACCCAACAAAAAAATTTGGCACAGTTGCAATTACTGTTAATACCCAGACTAAGGAGACATACAGCATAGTGTTCCAACAGCTGTACACTTTGTCGTAGGCAAAACTATGACATATATAGCAATATCGGTTTATTGCAATTGCAGTGATGTTGAAAATAGAGCCTATTACACTTAGTCCCATCACAAAGCCGCTCACTTTACAGTGCATTTCACCCAACGTCCATCCATTGTGGAAAATAGCTAAGAGCACCAGTGGGTATGGATACAAGGCCACCACCAGATCAGCAAAAGCTAGGCTCACCACAAACGCATTACCTGGGGAAAAAGAAAAATACATAGACATGAGTCTGAAAGCAAGCATAGTTGTGATCAAGAAGAAAATATGATATATTGTTTTGATGTCAGCAAGTGTCAGGTGTATAGGACCAATAGGTCTGTATGGGAAATAATTTTACAGTTCAGCTTAGAACACCACGGAAATATCTGCAGCAACATGATATTTCAAATCTGCTGGTGACTGAATTATACCCTCCTTTCTATTTTAATCTTTGTTAAACATAACCATCAACGAGCGATTACATAAACATGTGTTGAGTTTATTCAGTCTAGCTGACTCCATGGCTGGACCAGATAAGGTGAAAAAGAAAAAAAGTCTAAATTGTGCAAGGTAGACAAGCCGTTATGCCATTCCAACCTATGACTGGAGTACTAACAGGCTTGCCAGGTATCAAGGGGAAGGACATAGAAAGACTAGGTCTATAGGGATTAGAAGGATGTGGTGGTTTATGTATATTCTAAATTGCCATACAACAGTCTGTAGTATAGATATTTTCTGCATGAATGGCCTACCCCTACTGCAGTTATTTTCCCATCGGATTGACTAAGGAAGAGAGAATTGCCTTCACCATCCTCTGTAGAAAGACATATTTAATTATACATAGGAAAAATGCAGGAATGCAAGAGAAAGTATTCAAATTCATGGAAGGAGCCTTCAGATCCTTTTCTGCTGCTGACATTTAAAGAAATTTTAGTGATATGGTTGAGACTTATCTTCTCGATTTAAAGTGTCCTTTTCATGAGTTTCAAATTTCTGGACATTGCATCTAAGGATACTTTAATGAAATAGTGCGATAGCAAACTATATTCCTGAAAAATGAAATGAGAAATCATTCTGTAGGAACTTCCCAGGAGACAGAAAATAGAGGTACTAACTTTAGATTCTTGGCATTTAGGTAGCATAAAACACATTTCTGGTTTGCATACTCACTTTTTTGCTTATTGTCCTTCACAGTGTGAACAGATGTGCAAAAGACCCAAGTAGCTTTTAAAATTGTGCGGGGAACATAATTACTTTTTTAAAAGAGCAGTTAGATGCTCAGTTCTACAAATTCTGAGCTTTCTGGTCCTCATCAAGGAAAGTAGTTCTCCATTTAATTTTAAGTACAGAAATAATGCTGTGGATAAAGACATCATTAGCTGGGAGCCATAAAACCAAGAACCATGAAGGATTGAACTCCCCAAAAAATGGTAGAATTTCACCTTTATACAGTTCCAGCTGCAATGAATAAGGACAGTTAGCAATGAACTAGCCAAAAACATAATACACCACTTTACAACAGAAAAGAAAAATGGTGCAATATCTATAAAGGCCTCAAGCAATTTGTCACTTTTATGGCTGTTTACAGGGTTGAGTGTTCGTGCTGTGCACTGCAAAGTAAGGTCCAGCGTTTTTTTCTTTCTCTGTAGCTGTGGAATGAAGTTTAGTATTATATTACTGCAATGAATAATCTACAAAAGTAGAGAGACACTTTTCTTATTCACAAAAATTAAATAATCAATGTTTTAAGAAATCAGAGCTCTTCAAGAAAGTAAATGCTCCTTGATACACCCAAGACACAGCATTTGGAGTGGCTGTAATTACGTTGTAATATAACCAAAGAGGTAATTTTTTGCCTCTTTTTTTTTTCTATTTTTATAACAAAATAGAAACCATAGAATGCTCATCTACTTGGAATTATTATAACTATTTCCATAGTTTACCTGATGGACTTTACTCCTAGATTTCAGTTTTATCAGACAACATTATATTCATTCATAAGAAACACATATGCTCACTGGAATGGAAAGATCCTTTAATTACAAGGAGTAGCTACTAAAAGCTAAATATCTAGCCAGGGACTCAAAAAGATACAGATCTGTGCTGTTTTAAACATTGATAATTGGGTGCATAAAAAAGAAAGTAAGTTCCAATACTGACTTTGGGTACAACAGAACTAGATCGATATTTCATGAAGCATTTTTGCATATTGGTTTTGTTGCCGCAGATAAAAGGAGAAAGGGAGCATTCAGACCCTCTTGTAAACTTGATAGAACTTGATATTGTAGGAATTTAATCACAGAACAAACTTTTTGGAAAGGTCAGGACTTTTAAGGGCTAAGCATTTGCCTTCTGAAAAGACAATTGACTTCTAACATCTCTGCTAAAACCAGAAGCAATTGCAATCACCAATCATTTTTTAAGGGTTTTGCTTCTTTCTTTGGTTTCAAACTGGTTAAAATGATTAATTATATATCATGGCATTTTATGTTTTATTGGATGGTGTTTTGGTTGTTCCACATTCGTTTAACAAGTTGTTGTACATTGCATACAGACCCTTTTAGCTCTGCTTGCCCCTGGCTGCAGTCGTGTTCATCCTTGTGTACTCCTATGCATCCATTACTCTTTTCTTTAGCATACAAAAACTTAGCTTCAAGACAGGAAAATTGTTTCTTTGCAGCCTATTGTGCAGACTGTTGCATTTTTCTCTGCCCCCTCCTCTCCTACTGTTGAACTTGGGTTGCTGCGTAGCAACAAATGTAAGGAGTAGGGACAGGCAAGGCAGAAAAAGAGTGAATATGACTATAACGTACTGGCAGATTTTTTTAAATACCAAGGATTGATGACTCAGGATAGTTATTTTTTCTTCCATTTCCATAACCTAACCTTACGGGAAAATTCAGAGTTTCTCTTGCAGACTTCTTACTTCATTACGTCTTCAGTGGGAATGTGAGTGGGAAAGCTCTTTGTTTGGGCTTAAGGCTTAAAAACCTCTCTAATAACCAGTACTGTTTATAATTAAATAGCCTTTTATACTGGGTGAGAATGATAAGAACTAGAGTTTTTCTGTGATATCACTCTGACAGCTACCAGTAGGTATTTAACTGTACTAAAGGAAAAGGAGCAAGACCGTAACTTTAATGAAGTAAATAAGAGTCCTATCATTCTATAAAATAAAGCCAATCGCTCCTCTGCAGGGTTCACAGTAATGGACAGTCTCCAGAAGAAGTTAGACTGACAGACTGTCTGTCCATACACACGAGGCATTTCTCTAGTGCTAGCTCACTCTTCAGACCCCTTTTTTGTTCCTCTGCCAGACTCCTGCAGCCCCTGTACCCAAACTTAAAAAAGAGAGTTCTGGAAGGCTTCTAATAGACCGAATATGTGCTCAGTTTCTAGACAGCCTTATAGTCAAAGACACAAGATATCACTTCATTTACTTTTCAGTTACTTTTATATAAACACTAAGCATGCAAAATGCTTTTTTGCTCTAGTTTTTAAAATGTTCACAATATACATGAGGTGAGTCTAATCTTGTAGTTCTTCCCTGTAAGGCACTAAAGAAAAACAAAAAGAGTTGTACAGCCTCAATCATAATTCTAAATTTCTGCAAGTGATATGCTACTTGCATACAAAATTCTTCCTTAGCTGTGACATGACCTTTCTCTAATAAAGGTAACCTTGATCCTGATACTAAGCTTGGTATGAAAGTTGCTGGTGGCTTATAATTTTTGTTTCTGACTACCAGCAATTTGTGGAAACAAAATGTTATTTTTATAATTTTAATCTCAAATGCCTTTAATTATATTATGTTATGTTATATTGCTGTAAATTATCTGCCTTTTAGACCTCAATAATGACTTCTTAAGTTTATGGGAGAATTACTATAGACTTAAAGGAGGCATTAATCAGATACAAGAAAATAAAGACCTCTCATTAACAAGAATGTGAAATACTGAAAGCATTTGGTCCATATAACAAGAGCAACAGCAATGACAAAAATTAAGCACTTGAATTATATTTGGATGTAGAAGAAAAAAAAAAATCAAAGCTTAAACCCCTTTCATAGTTCCTACAACTTTTAGAAGAGCAGACCTTACCTTCAGACAAAAAGAAATAGCAGTGTATTAACCCCAAGGCATGTTAAGCTACTACAGCAAGTGGCTTATTGGATCTATTGTTTGAGTCTAGACCAACATGGAGATTGAAGAGGCATATATAACAGCTTGAAGAAAGCAATCAGTCCTTCAGTCAAGAAGACTGGCCCTCTTTAATCTCCTCTTGTCTATAATTAGTAATAGAAACTATGCAGCTCTGATGAAGTATTATCTTGAACTTTATTGTGCAACGTCACCTTTTGAGAACCAGGCTTAAATACAATTTCCATGCTTCAGACCCTACTGAATCCTCATTAAAGTGAGTCTCAGGGTCTGGACCAGATAAAACAGCAGCATTGACTTCACGTGTCTGTCTCCACTCCTGGTTGTATAAGAATAGCTCTGAGACTGAAACTAAGGACCCATCTGCTCAGCCAAACAAACCGTTTTAAGCAGCACATTATTCTAAGTGTCAGCCTGAGTGCAAATCTGAGCAAGGCACGTGTGGTTTTCCAGCTCAGAGTTCAGGATTTTGGCAAAACAGATGATTACTGTGATGGAACTGTATAGCTGGTCCCACTCCTGGAGCTTCTTCATTATCTGTATGTCCATGTACACACGGATACTCACTATTTCTTCAGGTGATTGTCTTTCCCAAAATTTCAGTTAGTTTATGGCATACTTTATGAAAGAATTGCATAAGATAGAAGGTTATGCTTTCAGAGCCAGGACTTCTCATAAACTTCTTTTAAATGGAATCCCTGGTTATTGCTGGTTCTTGATGCTGCCACTGACACCTACCTTTTCTGACCCATCATATTTTCCACTGGGCTTCAGTTCATTTCAGGCTTGGTTGTAGAGGGTTCTTCTTAAGGTTTGCCCTTTAATGTGGGAAGAAAAACATGACTCTGGAGGGACTGAAGAACTGGCACCAGGTAGGCAGGCAAAACTAAGGACTGGGTATGTTTTTGTTTCTCTTTCTGGAGTGGCTCAGTGTATTTGGCTCAAATGGTATGCAGGGAGATGTTAGCTGCTCCTGGAGAAAGGCCGATGCTTCATACTTCCTCACTACTAATTTTTGTCTCTAGTTTTGGCTTCTTTGATTAGTAATTTTTTAGACT